GGCGGTGCGGGGGTGGGGAGGAGTGTGGGTGGGGAGGGCGGTGTGGATGGGTTCGGTGGGGTGCTTGGGTTTGGGGTGCGACGGAGGAGGGCTGGGAGGGGAGTGTACTTACGGCCAATCGAGAAGTCGTTAAAGCAGGAGGATGTGGAGATGTTGTTAAGGAGGAGCAAGGAGGGCAGTGAGGAGGCGGAGAAGGAGGAGGAGAAGAGAAACCAACTGTTGGATTTATTGGTGAGCTTCTGACGGGCCCTGATTGCTTCTGTGCTGGGCTTCCTTTCTTTCGACCCTTCACGATACTACCTATCTGTCATTCTTGCAAACCCTCCACGCACATCCATCATCACATCTGTTTCCTTGCCTCAATACCATCCTTCCCTCCTTCCTGCCTCATCATCTCTTCCTCCCACAGGAATCAGCCCAGGAGCAAGAGTCAGCCTTCTTTGCACTCAAGCCCCAGGCTTCCCAGCTATCATCAGCAGCAGCACCATCTGTAGTGTCTTCACGTGCCATTAACGAGCGGCTCATAGCAGCGCACTGCAGCAGGCTGCTCAGCTCGTTCAAGCTCAGCGCCAGTGTCCTCTCATTTGCCGCGAGTGCTGTGGCTCTTCCTGCCCCTGCTCCTGCCAGAGCTGCTTCTCCTGCTGCTGCTGCTGCTGCTGCTGCTGCTGCTGCTGCTGCTGCTGCTGCTGCTGCTGCTGCTGCTGCTGCTGCTGCTGCTGCTGCTGCTGCTGCTGCTGCTGCTGCTGCTGCTGCTGCTGCTGCTGCTGCTGCTGCTGCTGCTGCTGCTGCTGCTGCTGCTGCTGCTGCTGCTGCTGCTGCTGCTGCTGCTGCTGCTGCTGCTGCTGCTGCTGCTGCTGCTGCTGCTGCTGCTGCTGCTGCTGCTGCTGCTGCTGCTGCTGCTGCTGCTGCTGCTGCTGCTGCTGCTGCTGCTGCTGCTGCTGCTGCTGCTGCTGCTGCTGCTGCTGCTGCTGCTGCTGCTGCTGCTGCTGCTGCTGCTGCTGATGCTGCTGATGCTGTTGGCGTGGATGGTGCTTATCGTGGTGGTGGTGCAGGTGCTGCTACTACCGCCGCTGCTGCTACTTCTGCTGCTGCTGCTCCTCCCGCTGCTGCTGTTGCTGCTTCCGTTGTTTCTCGCGGTTGAAGGGGCTGGATGAATCAGACTGAAAGCAGGTTCAGTGTTACATGGGGTAAGGATGTACTGTAAACCCTGGCAATGGCAATGATGCTGCTGATGGCAAAGCAGTGCTTGCATAGTGTGAGTATTGTAACGTAATTCTCTAAGAAGTGTATGATCCTCGGAGTTTGAATATGCCAATGTAGTAGAAGCGTTTCACTTTCACACATCAATTAAGTAGCATTAAGGTGACCACAAAACAAATGGCTGCTCCGTCCCAGGCCCTGAGCTATTTCTCGAATCAGTAACTTCATTAGCATATATCCTTCACACAGTGTGCATCTAGGCACCAAACCCAACTGTTTCGCAATAACACACAAGAAAACCACACCGCAAGCGGAAAAAAATCAAATAAAACAAAATCACAGACAACACAGAGTTATCATTTCATCTCACACAAGAAGTGGCACTGAGGCACTCTGTGAACATGCAACAGCTGGGACGGTCTTTTGAGACGTCCCAGAAGCAATGCGGCGGCTCAGGTGTGGATGCTCGGTGAAGTTACGCCCTCCTTGTGAACATGTGACAGAAACGCATGCCACTGCTGCTGCGGTGGCTGCAGCTGCCACAGCTCCTGCTCCTGCACCTTCTGCTGCTGCTGCTGCTGCTTCTGCTGCTGCTGCTGCTGCTGCTGCTGCTGCTGCTGCTGCTGCTGCTGCTGCTGCTGCTGCTGCTGCTGCTGCTGCTGCTGCTGCTGCTGCTGCTGCTGCTGCTGCTGCTGCTGCTGCTGCTGCTGCTGCTGCTGCTGCTGCTGCTGCTGCTGCTGCTGCTGCTGCTGCTGCTGCTGCTGCTGCTGCTGCTGCTGCTGCTGCTGCTGCTGCTGCTGCTGCTGCTGCTGCTGCTGCTGCTGCTGCTGCTGCTGCTGCTGCTGCTGCTGCTGCTGCTGCTGCTGCTGCTGCTGCTGCTGCTGCTGCTGCTGCTGCTGCTGCTGCTGCTGCTGCTGCTGCTGCTGCTGCTGCTGCTGCTGCTGCTGCTGCTGCTGCTGCTGCTGCTGCTGCTGCTGCTGCTGCTGCTGCTGCTGCTGCAGCAGCAGCAGCAGCAGCAGCAGCAGCAGCAGCAGCAGCAGCAGCAGCAGCAGCAGCAGCAGCAGCAGCAGCAGCAGCAGCAGCAGCAGCAGCAGCAGCAGCAGCAGCAGCAGCAGCAGCAGCAGCAGCAGCAGCAGCAGCAGCAGCAGCAGCAGCAGCAGCAGCAGCAGCAGCAGCAGCAGCAGCAGCAGCAGCAGCAGCAGCAGCAGCAGCAGCAGCAGCAGCAGCAGCAGCAGCAGCAGCAGCAGCAGCAGCAGCAGCAGCAGCAGCAGCAGCAGCAGCAGCAGCAGCAGCAGCAGCAGCAGCAGCAGCAGCAGCAGCAGCAGCAGCAGCAGCAGCAGCAGCAGCAGCAGCAGCAGCAGCAGCAGCAGCAGCAGCAGCAGCAGCAGCAGCAGCAGCAGCAGCAGCAGCAGCAGCAGAAGCAGCAGCAGCAGCAGCAGAAGGTGCAGGAGCAGGAGCTGTGGCAGCTGCAGCCACCGCAGCAGCAGTGGCATGCGTTTCTGTCACATGTTCACAAGGAGGGCGTAACTTCACCGAGCATCCACACCTGAGCCGCCGCATTGCTTCTGGGACGTCTCAAAAGACCGTCCCAGCTGTTGCATGTTCACAGAGTGCCTCAGTGCCACTTCTTGTGTGAGATGAAATGATAACTCTGTGTTGTCTGTGATTTTGTTTTATTTGATTTTTTTCCGCTTGCGGTGTGGTTTTCTTGTGTGTTATTGCGAAACAGTTGGGTTTGGTGCCTAGATGCACACTGTGTGAAGGATATATGCTAATGAAGTTACTGATTCGAGAAATAGCTCAGGGCCTGGGACGGAGCAGCCATTTGTTTTGTGGTCACCTTAATGCTACTTAATTGATGTGTGAAAGTGAAACGCTTCTACTACATTGGCATATTCAAACTCCGAGGATCATACACTTCTTAGAGAATTACGTTACAATACTCACACTATGCAAGCACTGCTTTGCCATCAGCAGCATCATTGCCATTGCCAGGGTTTACAGTACATCCTTACCCCATGTAACACTGAACCTGCTTTCAGTCTGATTCATCCAGCCCCTTCAACCGCGAGAAACAACGGAAGCAGCAACAGCAGCAGCGGGAGGAGCAGCAGCAGCAGAAGTAGCAGCAGCGGCGGTAGTAGCAGCACCTGCACCACCACCACGATAAGCACCATCCACGCCAACAGCATCAGCAGCATCAGCAGCAGCAGCAGCAGCAGCAGCAGCAGCAGCAGCAGCAGCAGCAGCAGCAGCAGCAGCAGCAGCAGCAGCAGCAGCAGCAGCAGCAGCAGCAGCAGCAGCAGCAGCAGCAGCAGCAGCAGCAGCAGCAGCAGCAGCAGCAGCAGCAGCAGCAGCAGCAGCAGCAGCAGCAGCAGCAGCAGCAGCAGCAGCAGCAGCAGCAGCAGCAGCAGCAGCAGCAGCAGCAGCAGCAGCAGCAGCAGCAGCAGCAGCAGCAGCAGCAGCAGCAGCAGCAGCAGCAGCAGCAGCAGCAGCAGCAGCAGCAGCAGCAGCAGCAGCAGCAGCAGCAGCAGCAGCAGCAGCAGCAGCAGCAGCAGCAGCAGCAGCAGGAGAAGCAGCTCTGGCAGGAGCAGGGGCAGGAAGAGCCACAGCACTCGCGGCAAATGAGAGGACACTGGCGCTGAGCTTGAACGAGCTGAGCAGCCTGCTGCAGTGCGCTGCTATGAGCCGCTCGTTAATGGCACGTGAAGACACTACAGATGGTGCTGCTGCTGATGATAGCTGGGAAGCCTGGGGCTTGAGTGCAAAGAAGGCTGACTCTTGCTCCTGGGCTGATTCCTGTGGGAGGAAGAGATGATGAGGCAGGAAGGAGGGAAGGATGGTATTGAGGCAAGGAAACAGATGTGATGATGGATGTGCGTGGAGGGTTTGCAAGAATGACAGATAGGTAGTATCGTGAAGGGTCGAAAGAAAGGAAGCCCAGCACAGAAGCAATCAGGGCCCGTCAGAAGCTCACCAATAAATCCAACAGTTGGTTTCTCTTCTCCTCCTCCTTCTCCGCCTCCTCACTGCCCTCCTTGCTCCTCCTTAACAACATCTCCACATCCTCCTGCTTTAACGACTTCTCGATTGGCCGTAAGTACACTCCCCTCCCAGCCCTCCTCCGTCGCACCCCAAACCCAAGCACCCCACCGAACCCATCCACACCGCCCTCCCCACCCACACTCCTCCCCACCCCCGCACCGC